AAAACCCCGACGTTGCCGAGGCGCGCCGCGAGGATCCAGTCGTCGCCGCCAATATCGAGGTCGCAGAGGCTTTCGAGCAGCCGCACGTTCGAGTATGCGATCGCATACTGCGTGAGCCGGGAGCGAGTGCTGGGATCGCTCTGCAGAAGCGGCGCGAGGTCCGTCGCGCGCGTGTGCTGGGCAAGCCACGGCGCAAAGACCGCGTGGAACGGCGCAAGGGCAGCCTTGATGTTGCGAGTGTCGCCGTCGCTCTTGACGAGCGCGCGGAGGAGCTTGACGTCGAGCGGGACGCCTTCCTGAAAATCGGCGATCGCGCGCACGAGCTCGGGCAGGCGGAGGACACGCAGGGCCATGACGACGCAAGATGGGATCTGCGAACAAACACGCACTTACGATTGGCCGCATCTGCACGATCGACCAGCCCTGTCAGGCTTGACATGTCGCAGCTCGTCCAAGGATACCCAGTGCGAGTGGCGCAGCGTGAGAATCGAACCCTCGACATGACAGCCTTTCATTGATGATGCACGCAGCATACGGCGCGAGGGCGTCGAGCACGCAGCAGGCGCATCGTGCGCGCAAACAGCCCTCCTCCTGCGACCCCAAGAAGAGAACGTGGTTTATGTTACGTGGCAGAACCACGGACTAGCGCTTCGGATCAGGTCTGCTCGGTCCCATGCGTTCTTGCGTCGCGCATGGCGGCGTCGACGTCTTGGGTGGCACCAAGGCCGTGCAGGTCCATGTACGCGAGGATGTCGGTGTGGCCGAGGGATCGGGCGTAGACTCGGGCGTCCTCGGTGCAGCCCTCGGCTCGAAAGCGGTGGAGATACACAAACAGGTCGAAGCACCCGAACCGCGCCGCCGTGTCCATAAGCAGCGGCGAGAACGACGCACTTGCGCTCGTCGTATGCACAAAGTCCACGAGGTCGAGGCGCATGTGGCGCACCGCGTGCACGAGCGCCTTCTCGGACCAGCTGCGAAAGCCGTTCAAGCGCAGGTACCACGTTGCTGCGAGCGCGCGCGTGTCTGTTGTTGCAGCGTCTAAATCGAGTAGGTACATGACAACCGGCCACTGCTCGCGGCCGGCGGCGGCGGCAACAGCGCGCGCTACGTCACCCTCCGATCGGTTCTCTTTCAGAAAGCGGACGACGTCGAGATGACCGCACGCGGCGGCGCTCGTGAGCGCGGCGGCCGAGCAGCCGTCAGACCGGTGCTCGTGCAAAAAGCGGACAATGGACAGCTGCCCGGCGGCGGCGGCGGCGTCCATCGTCGCGGCGTTGAAGCCTTGGTTGTCGTGCTCGTGGAGGTACTGAATGATATCCAAGGCGCCTTGCACGGCCAAGCTGCTGACGTCAACGGGGTGCCAGAGACCTTGCCGGTGCACGTACTCTACCATCGCGAGCGACCTACCCCGACACGCGACGCTGAGCGAGGGCGATCGAAGCACTGCACCGTGGTCAACGAGGAACGCTACAATGTTCACATGGCTCGTCGAGAGAGCGTGTCCCATCGTATAGTCGAGATAGAGTGGGTAGCCGTGGTCGACAAAGAAGGCAAGCGCGGCCACGTTGCCGTTCTGCGCCGCCAGCTTCCAGTCGCCGAACGAGGCGTCGAGGACGCTGGCCTCGTGCATTGCATCGAGAAGCCGATTGTCCCTGTGTGCGATGGCGTAGCGGCGGAGGCGCCCCGGCGCGTGCTCATGGCAGCGGAAGAGCGGCGCAAGGTCGCCGGGGCCATGCGTCGCCCACCACGGCGCAAAGACGCTTGGCAGCCGATCGTCGGCGCTCTCAAGGACGAGGACATCGCGGATGCGCTTGGCGTCGAGCGAGAGACCTGGCTGGAACTGGACGATGGCCGCGACGAGCTCGCGGAGGCGAACGACCTCTGCTGCAACGCTGCGTTCTTGCATCGGTCGGGTTGTGAGATCATCATTCTTGCTGCAAACTGAAGAATGCATGTAGAAAGGCCAGAATCTGACCATGACAGCTTTATTCGAGCGCTTACGGAGCCTCCAGCGCAAGCTCCTGCAGGATAGCTACAACGTCCTTGGCCGTTGGTCGCGCTTGTGGGTCCGAAGCCAGGCAGGCGGTCGCCAGGTCGCGCAGCCACGGCCGGCAGTCTGGCTGAAGCATCGGGCGAAGCGCTCCGCTACGTACGCCCGCGACGACGTCCCACACATGGAGACGCATGTCTGCATACGGCTTGTGGCGCGTGTCGAGCTCAGTTAGAAACATGCCGTACGAGTAGATGTCGGCAGGGAAGCTGTAGCTTGTGTCTTCGAAGACCTCGGGCGCCATCCAACACAGCGTCCCGGTGCCGAGCGCCCTCGGCGTCGCCTCGTCCACAACCTGTGCGAGGCCCAAATAGCCAATCTTAATGGCCCCATCCGAAGCGAGGAGGACATTTGCAGCCTTGATGTCGCCGTGGAGGATCTCATGACTGTGCAGGTCCAGCAGCGCGCGGGCCACAGCGTTCGCAACGGCCAGCGTGAAGCGCGCTGTGAGCTTGTTGGCAGGTACCTCCAGGTAGTCGCGAACGGAGCCTCGATCCATGTACTCAAAGATGGCAACAGGTCGCGGCGAGTCGTTGTGGCGCACGTCGAGCAACTCGACGAAGTGTGGCGACGAGAACCTAGCGCCTTAAATACAGCCTCCATATCATGGAACAGCGTACCGTGATCGAATGTAAAGCTCGTTCCGAAGCGCGTCGACTTGCGGCGCAGTGTACGCCAACTGCACGGCGACGTCACGGTTGCAGTAGACGCCCTTGTACTGCACAAAACATGCGTCCGAGGCGATGATGGTGGTGGTCACAACAAGGTCGGCTTCGGCGGCCAGCGTCGACTAGGACGCGTGAGACAATATCCGAGATGGTTGCGGCGCACCTCGTCGTCCGAGCTCGCGTCGTCGCCAAAGAAGACGACGTCCATCGCAGAAGGGAAAATTGAAGGCGTCTTCATGTTCTATCTGCGTTTGCAAAGCCACGCGACTCGGTCGTCGAGACGGGTACAAAGATCCAACTTGAAGAAGAGATATAGATTGCAGCAGTGTTATTACACGTGCTTGGCGGCGTGGGCTTGCACCGGCGTCGTCGTGTTGTAGTACGCGTTCGCGGGATCTTCGACGATGACGATCGGGAGGCTCGTGGCTGGCGTCGTCGGTGGCGGGCGGCGGCGGCAGCAGCAGCAACAGCCTGCTTTGCAGCACTTGCGGATCCAAAAGGTCGTGAGCGTCGTGATTACAAGCAGGATGAGGACGCTCCAGAACAAGCCAAACTGAAAATCACTGGACGGCTCGTACGCCGGGAGGCTCCGAAGCTCAAAGGTTGAAACGGGCGCCGTCGTCACCGTCGAGAGAGAGCCCGTGACCGACGCAGGCAGCGGTGCGACAGCGTAAATGTCACCCGACCCAGACGTGGAGGCTTTCAAGGACTTGAGGGCGCGCGCGTAGACCTTGCCACTGCCCGAGATACTCACGGAGCTGGCATCGCACGCCAGCGCCCCGGCGTTCACTTGGCCAGAGCCCGAGATCGAAATGTCTTGGGTGGCGCAGACTCCGGCGGTGTAAAAGTTGATATCGCCCGAGCCCGAGATGGACGTGGAGACGGTCGTCGCGTTCACGAAGGACGACGCGCCGACGTACGCCTTGCCCGAGCCGCTCACGGACGACTTGATGGTGTCCATGCGGAGGGTGTTCCCGAGCAGCGCCACATCACCCGAGCCCGAGATCGAGAGCTCAGCTCGTGACGCCACCGTGGTGTCGAGGACGTGCAACTGGACCGAGCCAGAGCCTGGAACCTTGAGCTTCAGGTCTCGGAGCGCGATGGACGGCGCCGAGAGAAAGAGCCGGCCCGAACCCGAAACAACGAGCGAGAGTGCAGCGTCGGTGCTGTTGACGACCGTGAACGGGTCCAGGACGGCGTCGCCGTAGCCCGTCAACGTGACGGCGGCAAGCGACTGCAACGGCACGTACACGTCGATAATGTACTTGGTGGAACTAACTTGGAACGGATTGGCGTACCACGCGGGCCCGTTGACGCTGAGCGCGCCGTCTTCTTCTTCAATGGCAAATGCGCTGAGAAAGCCGTCGGATATCGAGCGCACGACAACCGACGCCTTGGTGGCGCTCGTGGCGTGGATGAAGGCCGAGTGCCGGAGCTTGAGACCCGAGAGGCTCGATGACGAGGCGTTGTAGACTTTGGAGGGCCACGAGGCAGTCGTCGAAGTCATGGTGGGAAGGAGGTGAAATGGAATATGAGCCACCTCACCGACAACCTCAGCATGCGTCTTGTGCGTTGGAGGCACCGGACATGTGACCCACACAAACACTCTGGCACGTCTAGTGGACAACTCAGCCCATGGGTCATATCTAGGTGACCAACAATCTTATTTCGTTGGTCGAATATTTTCAAGTTGGACTCTGCCCATGTAAACGTGGACACGCTTTTCACGCGTGTTCCATGGGATGCTAAAACCACGGAAAGCTCCTGCGCGTCCCCTCGTTCACATTACGATGGAGTGTACGATATCCTCCGCTCAAAACCTGGCGCTGGAGTGGCGTGTGACAGGCATCAATTGACGAGGCGACGAGGCTCGTCACGTGGTCGTCGTTGATTGTCATTGCATTTTCGAGGTTACGACCTTTGCAGGTCGCGCCGAAGCGCAGCGAATAGCTGCAACCTCGCATTTATTTGAATATATTTGGCTTTTTGTCTTGCCGCGAGAACGATGCCAGCAGAACGCCAAAGCCAACGGGCATGAGCCTCTCTCGGTCGCCTCTTCTTCGGCCATCGCTAGATACTGCTCGGCGGGTGATGCGACAGACTTTTCGTGAGAAATATGCAACGCCGATGCGCCGCGACTGGAGAAAGCGTGGCGTTGGCAGTCATGTAAAGCGATACCCCAATGGCTATACCCCACCACCGTAGCTTGAAGTTGTGCTGCGTGGGACACAGCTGGAGGGTTCAGACTCGTGGCATTATACAGGTATTCAGAATCGGCATGAATGCCATATTTAAAGCCAGGGCCAGCAGCTTACAAAATATGGCACCCCAGATGCAGGAGCACACGCACCACTTTGTGGTCACACGAAAGCATGCGCATTACATCTATCTCTATGATTGCATCGAATGGATGCGGCAGCCAATGTCAACGCTATTTGTATGGTACGTTCATGTGGCATGTGCCGAAATTAGTTTGACATGGGTAATGACGTGGAATCGGAACAACGCCGCGATGGCACTGTGCGTCCTTGGCACCGCCGAGCTCGTTTCTGCTATCGCGAGCTTCCAGCGCGGGCTCCACGGCGACACGCTCGATCTCCTGCACGAGCTCGACGTCGTCGATATCCCGTTCGACTCGGACGCGAGCCTCGTTGCTATTGCCGAGACCCTCGCGACCGCCTTTGCCAGCGTCCACCGCACCTTTCTGCCATGGCTCGCTCGCCGCGGCCAGGCGCCGTTCGCCCACGTCTGCCACGTCAAGCACCTCCGCCACGAGCTCCTCTACTTTGCGCTCGCGTACGGCCGCGTCGACATCATGCAGCACCTCGCCAAGACGGCGCGCATTTTCTTGTCGCCCGCGCGCCTCCAGTCGCTCGCGTCCTCAACTGCGTCGTCCGAGGTCCCGTACGCCATGCTCCGATCGATGCGCGACGGGTTCCGGCCGCTTCGACTCGACGTGTGCAGGAACGCACTTGGCGTCGCCTGCGTCCTGGGGCACCTTCCGCTCGCCCAGCACTTGCTCGAGCACCGGATCACGGGGCGCGCATGGGAACCCTCGAGCGCCGTAGCGATCTGTTGGAAAGGGCACCTTGACGTCGCGCGATACCTGTGCGAGCACGCGTACGCAGGCTTTGGCGCTGACGCCGCCGCGGCTGCCGCTGGCAACGGCCATGTCGAGCTGCTTGTGTTCCTCCTCCGCCACACAAGAGACGATGGCAGTGTCCTGGATGCTGCGCTGGTTGCTGCGGCGAAATTTGGCCGCGTCGACGTCCTCGCCGCACTACATGACGCCTTATGTGACATTGCGCTGGCAGCGGTGCCCGCCATCACATACGACCAAGTGGGCGTCCTGCGCTTTGTCCTCGCGCGCCAATGCGAAAGCGTGCCTGCCCAAGCGCTGGAGCACGCGGCGACGCTCGGACGCCTGGATGCTGTGCGGCTATTACACGAGTTTGGCCTTGTGAGCCACCGACAGCAAGCGCTTCTCGCCGCCGTCGCCAACGGACACGAGCCTGTCGTTCGGTACTTGTACTCAGGTGCGGCGTCCGACTTGAGCACGGCAGCAGCCATCAAAGTGGCTAAGCGAGCCAAGCAACAAGAGGTTCTGCGGTACCTCAAGACGCAACGGACTGACGACTGCCGCGTCCAATGACAAGAAAGGTGTTATGAGTGTTTGGCCGATCTAGTATATGTTCAATTAGCACTATATAGACGATAGAGGGACGACGTCATTCTTCTTGCTGCTACAGAGGGGCCCTGCCCTAGTCCTACCCGAACCCCTTCCTGGAACATTTTCCAAGAATCATTTTACCCAATCAGATGCTGGCATTTCTGACCGATCCAACTGCAATGGCGTGCGTCCTGCGCTGCGCGGACCTCGTCCGCGCCATCGTGGCCTATCAGAGCGGCGCCTACGGCGACGTGCGACCACTGCTCCGCCTCCTATACAGCGTCCGCTTGCCGCGGCCAGCGGCGCTGAGCCTGCTTACCTACGCTCGCGACCTCCGGGCGGCCTACGCATCCTTCCACGACGCGTTTGTCCGCATAGACGGCGACTGGCGACGGCTCGCGGCGACACCCAAGGCCAGCGACGCCATGATGTACTATGCAATTGTCTTTGGCAACGTCGCCATACTTCGGCATCGCGATGCTTCAGGCGCGCCTTTCTTGACGCCTCTGGACGATACGGCCCACGAAGACGCGCAACTCGAGTACCTTCGCATTGCCTTGGACCCGTCGAGAGATCGGCGCGGGCGGTCGCAACGCACGAACGACCCGTCGCTGGTGCGCGCTCGCCTGAGCATGCGGTCGATTGAGCTGGCGTGCGTTGGCGGCCACCTCGACGTCATCGAGTACCTGCACCAGAACGACGCTGGCTGCGTCCAGATGCACCTCTGGGGCAAGATGGTGGCCGAGGCCACCGCCGCGGCGGGCCATGTGTCTGTGCTGCGCTACTTTCACGACCACGGCTACGAAGGCGCAACGCGCACCGCCATCAACGCGGCGGCGCGCTACGGGCATCTGCCCGTGATCGAGTACCTCGTCGAGACGTGTGGCCTCTGGTCTGACAACGCTATTGAGTGGGCGGCCCACTACCGCCACACGGACCTCATCCGCTCTCTCGCTGCGCGTAGCAATCATCGGCACGTCCAGGCTGCGCTTCATGCGGCGGTCGACCGCGGCGACATTAGGATTGTGCGCGCGCTCCGCGAGGTGCGACCAGACGTGGGCGTCCTGTGGTCCATGCTGCATGCGCTGGTGCACCACCACATCAACCTCTTTTGCAACGACATGTGAGTTGGTCTATAGTAGATAATAGCGCATGTAGTTATTAAGTTATTATTCGAGTGTACTCTCACTGGATGAAGCACCACGGATGGCGGCGGCGTCGCGGCGTCTCCTTCTTGACTTGGTCTTTGAGGATCGGGACGAGGACCCGCTCTTGGCAGTCCTTGGCGACGTCGAGCGCTTGCGTGGTCTGGAAGGTCGCGACGCGGTGGCGACAGAAGTACGTGACGATGTGCGAGAGCCCGTGGGCAGCCGCGAGGTTGACGGCGCGCTGGATAAGGTTGTCGTCCGTGCTCTCGACGACCCGGAGAAGGCGCAAGTCGCGGCTTGACCGCTTCCGGAGCCGCCACCGGTCGAGGACGCCGCGGCGCGGGCACTGCACGGTCTCAAAGACGTAGCCGTGCTCGATGAGGAAATCGCGGATCGCGCAGCGCCCGTCCGACTCGTTGTCGTACACGACGACGCACGGCCGGTCCCACGAGAGGTCAAGGTGGTAGTGCAAGTACTCGGCAATGTCCAAATGGTTGTGCTCGCACGCGAGGCGCATTGCGTCCGAGTCGGCGAGCGACCCGAGCTCGTGGAGGTAGCGGACGATGCCGAGGTGGCCGGCCGCAACGGCGACCGAGAAGACGCGCGTCGAGTAGCCCTCGTAGCCGTGCGCCATCAAGAACTCGAGCACGTCCAGGTGGTCAAAGTACGCGGCGTAGCACCAGTGCGGCGACCGGACGTCGAGGCGGACGTTAGTGCTGAGGAATTCGAGCAGCGCCACGTTGCCGTAGAGGACGGCGTAGAAGACGAGGTGGTCGCGGTAGCTGGCGCGATGCAAGAGGAGACGCGCGAGGCCGTCGACGCCGTAGCGCTCAAACCACGCAGGGAAGAGCGCGTGGATCGGCGCGAACGCGCGGCGGCGGCGGTCGTCCTCGGGCGCGACGCCGGCCATGGGCCCGTAGACCTCAGTGGGCAGCGCGTGGTCGAGGAAGACGGCGAGGGGCACGAGCTCAAAGGGCCAGCCGACCTGGTACGACGCGACCTTGCGCACGAGCTCCGGCGTCCGCAGCACGTAGTCGGCCATCACAAACTGCTGCGATTGGGCACCGCCGCCCACAGTGGGTGTAACGAGGCGAGAAACGCGGTTCGATTTTCGCCAGTTGCACTGTCTGCCGCTGGCTCTTGCGCGACGGACGCCATACGCTCTGCGTGCTTGGCAGCTCGCCCCTCGGCCACTTGCAGCACCTTCCTCCAGCATGCGCGCATGGTCGCCTTCGCGCTACGCCCAGCGACTGGCGCTGTCCCCTTGGTACAGTACTCGTACACTGTACGGAGTAGTGGGTGACGCCAGCGCCATCACGCCCACCGATGTCATGTCGCCGCGCTCCGAACTTGATATAAAAGAGTCTCCGGTTGCAAGGGCACGCCCTTGGAACCCTCGCGACACGCGCTGGTGTTCTGCGGTCGTCAAGGACCGAAGGCGAGTACAGTACATGTACCACACGTGGACCACTTGGCTGGACGGGTACACGTCATATATAAGAGCACAAATACTAGGAATACAAGGGCTACAGTGTGGCCTCGGGTGCGTGCTGCAGCAGGAGCGCGTGCACAGCGCGGCGCTTCCGAGAGGCAGCGAGGGTCGCGAGCGCGTGGAGGTCCAAGGCCGCACCATGCGCTTGCACGAGGAACGCGACAACGTCGCTGTGGCCGTGGACGACAGCTTCTTTCGCAGCAGCAGGCACGTCAACGCTCTCGCCGTCGTTGAGAAACTGCACGATCGCGGCGTGGCCGCTGCGCGCCGCCTCGAGAAAGGCCTGCGGTACGTGGCGGCGGTCGCGCGCTGCGAGGTATTGCACAACGTCGAGGTGGCCGCACTTGGCCGCCATTTCGAGGTGCGAGACATGGAAGCCAAAGGCCGCCGATGCGTCAAAGTCGCCAAGACCTGCGTCCAGGAGAAACCGGAGTACTTCCAAATGCCCGTGAACGAGCACAAACATGAGCGTGTTGGGGTCCCACGCGCCGAGCCCGTGCCCGTGCAGAAAACGAACGACGTCGGCGTGACCGTTCGTACACGCCTCGTTGAGTGCGTCCTTGGCGGGCAGGATCCCGTGGGCAAAGATGCATTGGACAGCGGCGAGCGCACCCGTCTCAATCGCGTGGGCCATCAAGTGCTCGTCGCCGCCGTCGTAGTGACGATCGAGGAAGAAGCCGAGGACATCCAATAGCCCGACATCGACGACTAAGGCCCAGTCGGCCGCGCTGAGACGCACGGGCGCGGCCGCGTCGAGGAAGACGAGTACGTCGAGGTTACCGTAGACGACTGCATAGTAGAAGAGATGGCGATGCAGCGATGCGGGGAAGAGGCCGAGGCTTGAGGTACCATGGCGGGCGAGCCACGGCTCGAGGCAGTCGTGGACGGCGGCGAACTGGCGCTCGTAGCTGCCTCTGCGCAGGCGGACACGGCGAAGCAGGCGGGTCGGCGGTAACACGTCTGGATGCAGACCGTCCTGGAAGATCGCGATCGTATGCACGAGGTCCTTCGTCCGGAGCACGCGGAGCATCCTCGACGACTTGGGTGAATTCGTCTTTGGCTGCGTCGAAAGTGCACTTTGGTCTGTCTCAGTGATTCGGTGCTTCTGATTGGCTGAAATTCAGTGCTAAGATCTCGAGGTTTCTTAGCCTCCAAGTGTTGGCGGTCAATGAGCTTAGTCGCTGAGTCCTTGGTCGAATATCTGGACCGCAAGGACGTGGCACTCGGTCGCCCCGTTGACTAGTCAAACTCGTGTGGCTCACGTCGTTCTTCAAAATGTACGAAGCTCCTTTCCATTTTTCTTTTTTCGTGGAGCACTCAAGGCACCGCCTCGCCAGGTCGCGCGGTCGACCACATTGCGTTCGAAAATGAAATGACCAAGACTTTGCACAGTAGTAGAGGATGCTGTGGAGAGCACGAAAAGCGAGGTTGCGTTGACGTCCGAGGCGGTACTGAGACGCGATCGAAAATTCAAATTAAGATCGTAGTGCCATCTTAGCCGCACTGAGCACACTAAGTTCGTAGTGCCTTCTTAGAGGCTCCAAGCCAGGGCGCCATCGCTCGCTCCTGGCTCTTCGCCACCACCGTCTGTGTAGATGCCATCTCCGCCACCACCTCTTGCGGCGTTTTGCCGGTCCAAGCGTACGCAACCCCGGCTGTTGTGCCGTCGGGGTTGGAAGACCACCGACACGAGCTTCTGCGCTTGAGGAGGATGCACCACTCTTCAAAGGCAAAACAAAGTCCGAATTCGATGAGCTTTTACAAGCTACTGCTGGACCAATACATTGGAGCAGCGCCTATTGGCCAGTCTGGCGTCCAATCAGCGGACGGCAAGAGCTTGGCCCAATGGGCGACTGCCACGAGGTCCCAACACCGGCTATGGTCCAAGCGTCATGTGATCGCCGCTTTGCAGCGCAGCTCACAGAAGCGGTCTCGGCCCTCCGCAACTTGCTGTGGCTCTCGATCAACTCATAGCCAGTAGCCGACTACGACTACGACGGCCGAGATCGATCCGACCACCGAGTCGATCCGGCCGCTTCAGGACAACCTCGTCAATACGGACAACGAAAGCAAAACGACGACGACGAGATGTCTGCGGCGAGGAGACTCGAGCAGCTCAAGAAGGAGCTCAGCATCGTGTCGACGTATGCCCAGGTTCCAGTCCCACTCATCTCCAAATTGCACTGCACGCCGTCACGCGATGCCCTCAAGAGCGACTGAAAAACTCTTCGTTCGATACGCGGGGGTGCCAGGGCACCTGCTTGCATTACGGCTCCAGCCACGGGGAGTGGTTGGCTGCTGGACGGGAGCCGGATGAGAGTGGTTTCACAGCTCCGCTCCCGAAAAGATTGTTTCGGTTCCTTGTGTCGCGAAACGCCCAATTGCTCAATCAAGACCGAACTGTTTGGGTTGCAACAGTGTTTGTGTCCGCCATGCCAGTAGTGGGCGAGGCTACCTATTTGACTAACACTACCAATTTGGAAATTGCTTGACCTCGCTTGCTCTAGGCCTGGATCTTGGAGCATGTAACGTGTGTGCTTCTAGATTGCGGACTTCTAGATCGCTCGGCCTTGCGCAGGGTAAATAATAGCTATTATGTACCCATGGCCTTGCGCGCAAAACCTCGTTTACTTCTTGGAATCGGTCCTCCAGCAATACAAGCACAACGAACGAGGCGGGCGGAGCCGATCGGAAGATGTCGTTCAGGCAAGGTTGAGTGCTCAAAGGCCAGGATTCGAAGGCAATTCGGGCGAATTTCGAAGTACAAGCAGCCTTGCAGCAAAAAAACATTATAACACGGTCTGTATTGTTTTTCGAGGATTTAATGCTGGCTAAATTTTGCAATACATTGAGCAATAAAAATACGAAATATGTTTTACAAGCTAAACTGGTAATCATGGTCGGAAAAATCGAAGTTTCTTGTCGGATCACATATCACGAGTGCACGGTATCGCCACATCGCTAATATTCGATTGAAACAACCAGACTCAACGGCATTTCTCAATTTGCCGCGTCTTGCCCACCAAAGGTTGCGTCAATGGCGTCGGCCGAGAGCAATTTGCCGCCTGCGACGCTGCAGATGCCGCCGGCCAATGGCGAGTCACCGCCGAGCCTCGAGCATGGCAACGAGGAGTGGGACACTGGTCGCCACGTTTTGAGAACGCTGCAATCGCATGTGCGGTCGGCGCTGAAGATGCACGCGGACTACTTCGTGGACCCTGACGAGCCGCAGTGCCCGCTGAACTTGGTGTCGCGAAGAAACGTGCGCTTCAGCTCTCTCCTCCAACTACCCACCGGCGACGAAGAAGACGTTCCGGGCCTCATTCGACGCCGGCGACAGACGCAAGACACGGATGTCCGCCGCATCCTCAACACCTACCTGCGTGCCGGCTACGACTCGTCCATGGGTTGCATTTGTGTCATCCGGTCGCCGACGCCGTCCGACACGCCGTTGTACTACGTCATCGACGGCAACCACCGTTTTGCAGCGATCCGAGCGATGACGACGACGCAGCGACAGGAATTTGTCGAGCGCAGCGGCTTCAAGGTGCCTCCCATTCGCGACGACGCTCCGGACGACTTTCTGCTGCCGATCGTGGAGCTCTCCGTCACGACGACGTGCGACGTCCAAGCCCAGGTCGCCGAGCAACGCAACAAGCATATCACGCTGGATCAGAGCTCGTACTACTCCTGCGCGCTGCTTGTCGCCGAGCACATGTCCAAGACGCTCGTCAAGCTGCGCCAAGACAAATGGTGGCGCGACTCGAGCCTTCCGTTGACGATGCCATGGCACGACGACGAACGGTGCAGCGCGCTGCAGGCGACGGGGTGGGTCTCTATCAACTCGACGGTGGCCAAATCGGCGGCTCTCTTGCACCGCACGGACCTCGTCGACTTCATGCTCCGAGAAATGGACGATCCGTTCTGCTTTCGGGCCAAATGCGGTCAGCGTATCTTCACAGACATCGTGGAGGTGACGCGGGACGCACTCGACTTTCTCATCTCCAAGGGCTTCGCTGACGTCGTGCCGCAGCGTGTGAAGAGCCCCAGAGACGTGCAGTCGCCAGAGAGCTTTACCCGGGATATGCTGCGCATCTTGGCTCACGTTCTCTGGCTGCACGAGTCGCGGCTGCTGCCCGAGATCAGAGAACGTGCCTTTTTGGAGAAGATATGGCGCGACGACTTTACGGCGGCCGAGATCGATGGCTTCTTCACCAAGCCGCCGCCGTGGGTCGGGGCAAGAGTCGAGCTCGAGAAGGCTGCACGGCTGGTGGCCAAGGAGAAGGGCATCCGTGTACATGACGCAAAGAAGGAGCTACAGCAACGACAGTTCGTGACCAAATTCAACCGCAAGGCGGGAAGGCCGGCACCGAAGGTCCCGAATAGCACTCCAGTTGACAAGACGACCATGGCTGTCGCGCGGGATACGTCGAACGCACCGCTGCGCTCTATACGTCTCGCTGCGCAGCAGACGCGTTGCGATGTGGATCTCACGGAGTCTTCCGACGAGCTTGTGCCACCTCCAACTACCGCCGCGCTGGCCCATCAAGACAACGATGCAGGGTCCGGTTTCGAGACGTCGTCCTGTGACAGCGACGGCGACAGCACCGACGACGAAAACGCTTCAAAAGAACCGGGCACGGGCGACATGGCTGCGCTGTCTGTGTCGAATCCAGGCAAGGAGGACGACGGCAAGAAGCGACGCGCCTCAGTCGCTGAGGGAGGACAAGAGCCCGATGTATCAAAGAAGGCGCGCCGCAATCATGCCGACGAAGAGGCATTCGACTGGCCTGATCATGTCGATTTCAAGTCGAGCGTCGTCGGCGTGAGCGGGCCTGGGCACGTGGAGTTCCGGAGCCGCGAGCGCGTTGATGTCCCGCGATATACTGTGACTTCAGTTGACCAAGATGACGAGACGGGCATGGTCGTTGATTTTGACGAGGCGGACCCAGGAAAGTTCCTGGAGTCGCTCCGAGCGATTCACAAGGAGGCAGCGTTGAAGCATTCGCCCATGGTCAGTATCACCTTGACCTCTCGAGCGATGAAGGAGTGGCTGCGTCACGATGCAAGTCAACAGCAAGAAGAAACGTTGATTGGCGTTAGGATGACTCCTCTCGAAATGCGTTGCTTTTTGACATCCTGTGCGACATCGGACAAGTATAGCGTCCCATCCTATTTCGTTTAATACAGCAGAAAATCGAGGAGTACTTATGGTATCTGCGATGTATCTTTGAGCCGCGGAGGTGGCAGCAAGGACACCGCCAGTAAGTACACCTCGCTTTGGGCGGCTGCAAGATGACGATCCAGAGGCAACAAGGATGATGGCGATGAAGCCAAGTTCATGGCGGTCAACGCCCTTCTCTATGTATGCCTCAATGGTGCGGCGGCAGGCATCGCTCTACGCGACGTCTTGCATCGAGCTACAAGGTGGCACTTTGGCCGTCCAGGCGCTTGTGACGACCACGCAGCAGTCACGGGCAATTGGCTGAGGCGGACGACGAGCGCTCTTCTCAATCTTAACCAAGGGATATAAAACAATCCCTTGGTCTTAACGCAGATTCGCATCGTGGATCATCGATTCACATTTGCGTAGGTGCGGCAGCGTATGACGGCTGGATCGCAAGGAGCTTGGACGTCGAGAGCGCGGTGGCCGCGACCTCGACGCTGCCAAGGAGATCGATAGCGGCGGCCACGACATCCGCGCCCACCACAATGCTATGGATTATCGATCGAGAGCACAAACACGACAGTTGTCTACGTCTTCGAGGCATAATCCAGATACCGCGGCCAGTCACGTTCGGCATTTGCGTCATCAGCTGTCGCGCGCAGCTTGCAGGCCAGTCCAGTATGCCAGCAACTGCGACGTTTACCGCAATTTCGTCCTGCCAGACTAATTATGCGTCCTCGTATGCCCGAGGTCGCAAAATGTCGATTCCTATGACGTGGCACTCGGAAAATGTCCCTTTGGTGCCAACGTTCAATCGTGTAAAAGCATGTGTAGAAGCGAGCGCGACAAATGCGAAACACAGTGCTTCTACGAGAGAAGGATAACAACCATAAGCACTGCTCATTCCGCAATTTGCGCTCCAGAGACTCGGCCGCAAAGCACTATCGCGCACGGCAAGGCGGTCGCAAGCGGGCGTCCTGTCGACTGTGGTCCTTGAAACTTGTGTGGCTGAGGTCCTACTTGCGTCACGAATCCCTGCAATACAGGGTATTGGCTCAACAGCTAAGCAAAGATTGCTGCGCCCTCATGCAGCATGCGAATTTGTTTGAGTCTGCGTCGTCGAGGATCGATGCTACACCAAGAATGACGGATGGTAACGTGTTGAGCAGCGTCGCAGCCATCGAGCACTGACACTAGTACCTTGGCGCAGGTGCATACAGGCGCGCAAGAGGCCTGCAGAGTCGTCGTTCCCAGATAGTGGGTCGCACCACAGCGTAGGCCGGTGTACAGCCATCGGCGCCCAGTCCGGTGGCGAAGCGCTCTGAGGTATTAGTCGATCTACTGAGATGAACGCAGACAACGTCGAGCGCGGGTGCGAGGAGTGCGGACGATATGGCCGCGACCTTCGTCGTGTCGCGCTCGTGGCGTCGTTTCGAAGCATCCGCATAATATCCGGACACCAATAGCAAGGGCAAATTCAAAATGGGCAACACGACAACGAGCAGTGACGACGCTGCCGCAGCAGCAGTAGTAGGCGCGCGTGCGTCGCGTTCAGAGCGCGCGCGCCATCTCGCGACATCAAGCTCAATGGCGCTCATCTCGAGCGTCTCCCGCGTGACGTCCTGCTGCTTGCATACGACAGCCAGCACCGAGACCGCTGGCGGGCAGTTACCTCTCGCCCGCCGCGAACCTCTTAACCAACTCACCTCCGATCCGATCTGTGCTCAAGGTAGCAAGTGATTAAGACAGGTTACTTATAGTGTTCGCGTAGGCTGCGCTGCCTTCATGACACTGAGGCTTTTGCCTTTGCTCCGCCATGTCGCGGCAGACGCCGTCGTTTCGACACGGCCACACTTCCGGCAGCATTTGCCAGCCTTAACGCCGCGACATCAACGACTTTTTGAGCCGATGGTACACACGGTACATGCTCAGGCACGATGTGAAAAGACCGGCGCCAGCTCGCGCATCCTGTCGAAACTCCCAAGTCATCGACACGATCGCGTCCAAGGTCAGCCACGAGCTGACGCCGCGCCGTCGACGCTCCTGCCTACTCTCTGGTCGCGAGCAGCCTCCCAGTCTTCGCCGTGGACGTCCCACAGGCTGCGCCACTCCTCCAGTCGCTCGACATACCTGTGCGGTCGCGCCCGCGCTCGCGCAGTGGCAAGTGAAGCTCCAGCGACGCAAAGTAACCCATGCTTTCATCAACCTAGCTCATAGATGTATGTTCCCGTCCGCCGCGCTCCCCAAGACGGCCGCCAGGTGGCTGCTCATGCGCGGAGCAGAGCTCAAGCTGCAGGCGTGCCCGGCTGACACACTCATAGTCGTCTCGTTGAGGCGCATTCGACGCTTCTGCTGCTCCGCGATGACGACAGCACGTCGTCAAAGCTCTCGCGCTTTTTGATCGTCTCTGTTGGTGTTTGTCCGCGACGCGTTTTGATCGCGTGTGGCCTGCAATCGCTGTCATGGCGCTGCTTGAGCAGATTCCTGCGCCCAACGCCCAAAGCTTTGCCGCGACAATGGCTTGCCGTTGGCATGACCGAGGGCCTCATGAATGCTTTTTGCACTCCACAGACGTCATAGCAGGCTGTCAACTGCGTCATTCGCCTGTAGCTGGCTCTGAAAAGACGAAATAAGAACCTTTTCATCTTATTTGTTTATTCTCTTGGCCCATCCCCAAGTCGCGAGGCTGACTACGTTGCGGTTAAAAATGAAGTCACCAAGACGTGGTACCTTGGTGGAGGGCGCCCTGGAGAGCACGGAAAGTAAGGTCCCATCGACGCTCGAGGCGTACAGTGGAAGCGAGACGCTATTCTCAAACAAAGATCTTAGTGTTATGTGGCACAACGATCTTACGTGCTGCATCACGGATTGCGAGCGAGCGATCCGCCCAAGCCACGCCATGGCCGTCATCTCGTTCAAGCTCCTTCAGGGCTTAGGCCGGCTCGTGACGGTCAAGGCTCTCGTCATCCGTGCGTGACTTTGACCGTCACGAGCAGGCTAAACTGCTCAACGAGCCCGGGCGAGATGACAACCGCGACGTGGCTCGGGCGGGTCGCTCGGTCGCAATCCGTGATGGAGCACGTGATGGGGGCCGCGCGGTTCTTGACCTTGCTCTCGATCCAGCCCGAAAGGCAGCCGATAAAGCACTGGTGGATGCAGCGGAGCAGTCTGCGTCCGCGACTGGGACCTCCTTGCGGCGCTTCGTCGCGCTTACGTTTGATGGGCACTCCGAGCGTGTCCATGCAGACGGGGCACGTCGCCCTGCTCTCGGGTACGGCCGGTGGGTCCACGAGATTGCCCGTCCGCCATGCGTCGGGTACAATTGTAGCGCAGCGAAAGAAAAACCTGATATGAACGCCGGATGCAACCGGTAAATTTAACGGGGCTATCCTTTGGAGGCCAGCGTTGTCGAGGATAGTGAAACTCGTTTGGCCGAGGTCCTTCTTTCGCCGCAAATCCCTGCAGTACAGGACGTTGGCTTGCCAAGTACGCAAAGATCGCAGCGTCTTCATGCAGCATGCGAGCTTGGGTCTGCGTCGTCGAGAATCGATGATCACCTCGCTCGATTGGTGGTATCCGAAACGTGTTGAGCAGCGTCGCAGCCATCGAGCACCTGCACCAGCACCT